TCGCAGGTTCGAATCCCACTGTGGGATGCAGAGACCGATCCTTTGGATGAGACCGTACAAACTGAGGTCCTGTCTGGCAGTAGGTGCTGACACGAAAAAGATCCCTCACTGCTCAATGGCCATGAGTGCCGAGTATAGGTCAAATTTGGAGACCTCCATCGGCAAATGGTGGCGTCTCCATATGATTGAAAAATTCTCGAAGCTGACGTTAAACAACATACAAACAAACAAACAAAAAGGTCCATAATTTTGTAATAGAAAAAATTGCATGCATTTGCATTTCACTGAAAAGTTGATAAATATATCATCCAGAGTGTGTAATGGCCTTGACTTAAATTCGAGGTCACTTAGAATATGATGTTTTGGATGAATCACAATCTGAAAGAATACGTGACTGTGATTTTTTTTATGTCGGTGACATACAGATGGTGTTTGCTCTTAACAAGCTGCAGAATGTGTCATGGCTTGACGCAAGGTTATTTGGACAAGTTCAAGTTCACTGACGGGGGAATTTTACATTCCTTAACTGTCTTTCTACTGTTGAAACATTGAAAGTTGATGCCCCTTACAGGATTGTTTATAACCTTAAAATGTTGCATGACCTTGACTCAAGGTCACTATGTCCTGTCCGGAGCTCAGACGGAAGACCTATTCGTTGCATTGCAACGAGCTCGGCTCTAGTTTAATTTATTGTATTCGTAGTCAGATAAATTTATATATATATATCATGTGAATTTAACGTGTACAAAGTCTTTTTTTTTCAAAATGAGAGCAAACCTTATGGGGATGGGTGCATAATCTTAATCCAAATTTTATGTGTGAATTTTTTATTTAAAAATTTTAAACATGTTAAAATCGGATGGGCGATGTCCCTTCCTATGTGTACCATGGCTCTGAAATGTTTCAATTTTAGAAAACGCAGATAAAAAAAGCGGTTTAGCTGTTAACACACACACGTTTTGTTTTTTTTTTTTAAATCGTTACCTTGTCGATGTTGAAAATAACAGTTCGACCCACTCAGATAACGAAACATATACACTAATTAAAACTATGAAACTTATTTTCAGAATATTTTACTTGTTTTTTGTTTTGTTTTGTTTTTGTTTTTTGTTTGTTTTTTTTTTTGTTTTCTCTCTCTCTCTCTCTCTCTCTCTCTCTCTCTCTCTCTCTCTCTCCTGGCAGAAGCATGCTAATGTTATTTATATATATGTCTTTGACCGTGTAATAGAAACAAATCAATCGGGATCGGGAATCCGCAAACTTCGCATCAGAGGAGTTGAGAACGTATGCTACTTTTGAAAACAGTTAAACAGGCAAGTTAGGACAAATCTTTTGTTGCTTCCTTATTTAATACGAATCAGTAAGAACTCGTGTTTAAATGATAACTTAATGTTGAAACGGCTTCATCTACACAATACGCAACAACACAATCTGCAGTAGTAAAAAGTCATGAATCTTAAACGATTAACAAATGTACAGGAAATATGCAAGAAGTGTTTGAACTGCTTTCGTTTTCACTGTATATTGTATGACAGTTTTACTTCATGCATGATTTATATTCATCTCTTTGTATTCTGGTGTTTCCTTGGTATAAATAAAAAAGAAATATAATGATAATGAAATTCATAATTTCATATTGTGAAGCCTAGTTGTTCATGTTGTTAGCTTTGTTTAATTTTCAAATAGAATATTTCAATAACATGTTGAAATGCAAAATAAACATTGTATTTCATAACCATGATAACAGTTATCATGCATTCCAATACCATGGTTTGTAAGTAGGAATTCCTGTTTTAAAATTTAAAATGGAGCAAGCTTGGAAAATAATTTTCTACTTAAATGTTAGTTCATTGTTAAGTTAATGAAAAAATTTGATGAATAGTTCGAGTGAAAAATTGGTATTTTGTGTTTTTTTGTTTTTGTTTTTGTTTTTGCTACCGAAAAGAAATAAGTACTGCACTATTATAATGTTACCAGTATAAATTAAAATTACTGTAGATCACTAAATTTTTGCGACACCTTATTTTCAAGAGATAGACATTATTAAGGAGAAAAAACTTTCATGAATTGTGGTTACTTCTCTATATGGTCTTTAGGAATACTAATATAAACAAGAATAATATTTTTTGCGAGCACGCTGCCTTGCGTTATAACTAGCAAATAAAACAGGTTCCACTGGACAGTTAATGCATAGTAATCTAATACACTTTAAAATTTTTAATGTCTAATGAGTGATTGAAATCCACCAAAAATCCTACTGTGCAGCTCTAGAAAAAGATACATGCAGAAATGTGTACATCATAAAATTTTTTAAAAAGTTTTCGTATGATATTGATAACCAATCAAAATTATATGAAAAATTAGTAAAAAAAAAAACACACACACAATTTATATTTTCTTTGCTCCAATGCTTCAATTTTTTCTTTAAAAATCCTTATAAAATACTGTATAAAGTTTTTATTATATGGGTATAACAAAACTGTTACAGTTGTTGACAGGGTCTCGACCAACAGTTGATCTATCAAATCGGTGTGCAAACTGTTCCCCAAGGTCCTTGACGTTTAGGACCTTATCATGAATATTGTTAAAGTTGTTGAAAAAAATAGTGAGTGCAGGGATTTCAATTGAAAATTTGATATCAACCGCAAGCATGTTTTATTAGATATTAATACACATCATACTTTTGCAGAGTAGAATGGATCAACCGGGAGGTAGTGGGTCCAAGTGGTTTAAAGTTTGGACCAAAGATCAAAGAACCAAAAAAGCCATCCTTGCTGGATCTTTTAATGAATTGGTGGAAAAAAGTGAGCAAATGTGTAATACAAATGTACATTTATTATCATAATATTAACTAATTAACTATCTTTTAATAATCTATATACCATTGTCTTCAACTTTCCCAAATGTGGTTTATTATTATTTCCAGCTATCTAATTGGCTCAAACTAGATCCGAATCACATGATCAAGTATAAAAAGTGTTAAAAACTGGAAGTTTCTATTTTAAGCTTCTAAAAAAATTTATAGACCTGCTGTTTCTAAAATTAGAAACATTCTTCTGTAAACCAATAATAGTGCTGAAGTCACAATAGTCTTTATAAACTGAAATTCTAAAAACAGATACTGCAGCTGCTAATCTTAACTGTGATATCATAATGTGAGTGACATAACAATGCCTTATATTACATGTAGAAAGTATTGAGCATTAGAAACATGGTATTGGATTTAGGACATTTCTAATAAACTGAAAAAAAATAAAACAAGTACATCCTTTTGATTCAGTACAATCCCTAGATATTTACATGTAGACCTTAGAAAAAGCATATCAACCTCGCACTTCATGCTCAGTCAATATGCATTCCCTAAGGTCTATATATATCTACTAGGCATTGACCACATCAAAAGGCTATAATTGTATATAATCTCTACCTTATGAGTCTGCTTTGTTTTTTGCAAATTATAATTTAAAACTGATTGTCAAAAAACATTTATTTTATTGGAAAGCCAAACAAATGACCCAAATATGTACAAAAGTTACAGATGGCTTTTTAGCTCACCTGAGTTGAAAGCTGAAGTGAGCTTTACTTATCACACATTGTCCAGCATACCGGTATGCCCAACTCAACTCAACTTCTCAAGAACCACCAGGCCAGTTTTAACCAAAATTGACACAAAATATTTCTAGATAAAGAGTATTCAAAATTATTAAAATGATAGGTCAAGCCCCCTTCTGAGAGAAGATAATCAAGAAAAGGCAGAAATTGTGTGATGTCATTAAAAAATCTTCTCAAGAACCACTGTGTGAAAAGCTATAATTTATGCGAAAGCTTTCTAAGGTACATTGTAAATTGTTCAGATCATGGTCATCAGGAGTAGGAAACTACTGAAACAATCATTAAAAATTAACCTTCTCAGGAACTAGTGGACCTGAAAAGGTAAAACTTATATGGAAGCTTCCTTTGGCAGTGTAGATTTTTAATTTTTCAGATTATGGTCCATGTGGTTAGGGTAAGGGAATCCAAGTTTTAAATTGAAATAAAAGGGGAAAGAAAATGTTTTAAGATCTTCTCAAGAACCGCTGGACCAGAAAAGATGAAACTTGAGTGAAAGTTTACTGAAGTAGTGTTGATTCTACATTGTTCAGATCTTGGTCCCCAGAGATAAGGTGGAGCTATAATAGGAATAAAGTAAGGGAAATTTTCTAAAACTTTTCTGAAGAACAGCAAACAATATTAATGTGGAAGTATCCTCTGAGAGTATAGACATTTTTTTTTTCAAATCACTTCCGAACAATAGGGCCAAAGTGACTCAGGTGAGTGGTGTGGCCCTTGGGTCTGTTGTTTACTGTAGCATTACTATTATTAGACAAATTTTAAAATTCAAAACAGAAATATTTTAAGTTCAAACTCCATTGATGAATTCAAATCCAAACTAGTATAGAGCTATATCAATCAATTTACAGCCTTCTCAGAGACTTCTGCTTGATTTTTTTTTTACATAATTATAGTCTGTAAAAGTCTGAATTAAGCTGACTTTAGTATGGAATTAATGTTTTATGATGTGACCATTGGGGCCAACACAGTTGTACACATACCATCAAAAAGCTTTACACAGCTTAAACTAATATAACAGTAATATTTGATCTGCATCTTACATGAGACACATGCAGTCTAGAATGTGATGTTATGATGTTGTGTGTAACTAAGTTGTATTTCCGTAACTGAGTCTAAATGAACCTAACACATTTTTTAAACAAAAAGCATTGCAGAGTAGATGCAATTATAAGCAGAGCTAAATCTTCACAATAACTGCAAGCCAGTTATATTTGCCACTATTGCATTGAATGCTGGTAATATATCAAAGGAATTCTGGGAAGTTTTTGCACAAAAATTTCCTTGACAAATATACAGATTTCGTTTAAAAAAATTTCATGCATCTACAAATATATAATTTCTTTACAGCAAAGGTGAAGTTCAATATTGAAATATTTCAATTTGTATTAATGGAAGATGGGACAGAAGTGGAGGATCAGGAGTACTTTGAAGTTCTCCCCAATAATACTATCTTGCTGCTGCTTAAGAAAGGGGAGGTCTGGGAGAGAAGCAACCCAGGCAAGTGATGAATTTATTTTATTTATAGTTTAATTGTATTTCATTGCTGGAGATTTATGCAGAAAAAAAGGATCAGGAAACATAATTTAAAAAATTTCTAAATTTTGTTTTCCCTGTACCAAACATTCTAAAAAATGCTCATGAGCAGCTCATGAGACTCACACGAGAATCTTATATTAAGTAAGAAATGTATGCAAATTAGGTAGAATTTGATTTTGCTCATATGCAGATTGTTAGTCTCTGTATTAAGGGTCATGCAGGAAAATACTAACCATGCAAAATGCACATGTGCAAAATTATGCTCACTTGGATGCTCATGAGCAATAGTCTATTCAAATTGCTCATGTAAGAACAGCCTTATATAAAGATATACCATTGGTAGTAATTTTTTCTAAGTTCAATTTTCTCACGTGAGCAAGAGCTAGGTTAGGAAATTGGACAATCCGACATAGTCAAAATTCGGTATTACAGGTAAAACCAAAACCAAAGAATTACAAGTCTCATTTCCTCACATGAGCATTTCAAATGCTCCTCTGAGGAAATACAATATTAAAATTGTCACTCTATGGTCCAAGCTTTCACAAGTCTTCATTACAATTGCCCATGTGTTACTGTTATAATGCTTCCTGTTGATAGCATCACATATAATTGGAGGCCAGGCAGGGATTTCTTATCAATTTGCAAATGCTATCTTCTACCTAAACAACCTGCTGTGTCCCCCACAGTTTCTTAAAACTAGGGCTGTGTCCAATGAGGGGAGCCAGTCAGGATTTGTGCATGCTTCTCAAACCAGTTCAAAATTTCAATACAAAATATTTGTATCAGATTTTAGTATTTAACATGAAAGTATAATAAAATATATTATCATGTCTTACATGTAGTATGATTATCACCCTTTGGTGTGAGCACCCATAGGTGAAAACCCTATACTCAGACCTGATCATTTGTGATGTCTGATCTCTACTAAACAGTCCATATTTCTATGTTGGTCCACATTGTACCATAATTAATAAAGCTTTGTACTAATGGTACATGTAATATGATCGATGTTTGAGTTTCAAAATTTTAACTAAAGTAACATAATTGTTGACACTGAAAATTGCTATTTTCTATATCTTGCAGAGTGTTTCATCACATACTAGTTTACATTATTACTGTATTTCTGTGATTTGGAATGTTTAAAATTTGATCTGGAAATTGTTGAATTCCATTGCATTTTTAATTTGGAATTTCTATGCAGTCAGTTATAATAAATTTAGGATCTGTAGAAATATTTTTTTTTATTCTAACAGCAACATGTTGCATGGTGTAAAGCATTTTTTTCCTCCAGAAATTGCCTTTTTTAAATGCACAACTTTATCCTGTCATTGTTTAATATTAGAATTTTTACTATCATTTGCTTTTAGAAAGTCAAGATGAAGTCAAGAAAGAAGATGACGGTAAGATTCACAAAAATGAGAAATTAAAATTGATTTTATCTCAAAACTTAAGACCATTGAATTCTAGCTTCCCCTTCTAAGACAACCTGCTTTAGATTCAAGTACAGTAAAACTTGTTTAGTACAAAGTAAGGTGATGTCTTTTCTCTATAATGTTTATAACCTGGACTTTATGCAAACAAAAATTGTGAATTCAGTGATCCCTGTCCCACTGGGGCTTAAGGAGTGGGGCCTACTTACTCTTGCACATATAGCTGACAACTTTTTTGAATGATGATATGGAGTAATAAGATTTCGTTTTTCAATTATTACTAGAGCTTGCATTTGACATGAAGTTGACATGTATATAAGTACAAGGAGTATAGAAAAAGTTTGCTGCATGATATCCAGGTGATCACCAAGGCCTATGGGCCTCTTGTTAAGTGTACTATTATGATGAATTGAAATGTTATTTATGCAGTATAAGGACAATCTGTATTTAATAAATATAATCTGCTTTGATAGAGTATGAATTACATGTATTTTGTTTTTCAATTTAACAGTTCCAAAATCTGAAGTACTTGGACTTTTAGAAAAAATAAGAAAGAGGAAGGGAACATCAGCAAAGGTAGCAATTTATAGATCCATTTTGTCAGAATCAGTACAATATTACATAGCTAGTTAATATGTCTTTTTTTCTTGACGCCTGTTTTACTTTTTATACAGTCTAGAATCTGTAGAGCACAGTTTTACTAAACAATACTTGCATGTACAAGACAGAAATGAACATCACACCCAGTTTAGCCTCTATATAGACATGCACTGCTCTCCATGTACAAAATGTTTTAACATTTCTGTATTTTTGGCCAGATTGTGATTCACTGGATTGATGATGTCTGACCGGGTAAAAGTTTTATGAGCAAGTCCATTATAAAGTAATTACATTGTATAAGCCCTACCTTGACCATACTTGCACGGATGATGCATCTAGAGATGGACATTTCCAGACCTGTTTCAGATGCTGGATCTGTCCTACATTTTCCACATAAGTGGTCGGGTTAAAGTTTTTAGATCAGGTCCATTCCCAAGTAACTATAAACCCTACCTGGACAAAACTTGCATGGATGATGCATCAAGGGATGAATTAAAGACTTGCTTCAAAAAGTTTTATTGTGCTTGCTAAATTTCCAAAAATCCCCACTTTTATGATAACTTCCAGGCACATTGGCTCCAAATGTAAATTAACACTATCATATCAGAATCAAGTGGTGAAAGTATGCTATTTAAGTGCTTGTGACTTTATTTTGACTCTGATTGGAATGATGGAGATATAATTTTACATGCAAATAATTCTAGTGGTTCAGAATTTGAAGTGTCTTCACTACATCTGCATCAGGAGCCATTAAAAGGATTTCCCCACACTGTTCCAATTTAGATATCAATATCAAGCTTAATTAACTTAAACATGTATGTTATAAGATGCTGCTTTTCTTTTTGTATGAGAGGTGAGGTTTTATATACAGAAATTGAAAATTAATTATGACCAAATGTTCCCTCTAAGTAACTTGGATTAGATTTTTCCAATGCTTGCAGCCCTCGGAGTTAACCAGTAGGCCATGACTTTTCACCTTGAAATTGGTAAATAATAGACTTAATCCACTGTGCACTTACAGGGATAGAAAGTGGGGTGGAAGTTTTTTATATTAGGGTTAGTCATACGGTATGGCCATCATGGCCATGGTCATGCAGTTCTTTTTTTCTATATATATCACATTTCTGGAAAAAAAAAGAGAATATAATGTAGGAAATCCTAGTTTATTGATTTGTTCCATTGAGTACATTTAATTATCAGTTCAACTAATTGCTCTAATCAATGTAAAACATCACTTCAATATGTAATCTTGCATAGATTTATGTTTAGCCATATAAATGTCACTTACACATTTTGTAGGGGAAAGCAGCAAAGGAAAAGTTAAATCGAATACAACTAGTTATAATTGTAACGGGGACCGTTACAGATGTTCCCCAAACGCTCCCCAACTCCCTTTTGGTGTCTTATTTCCTGTAAGCTTCATTAAATAAGGCAATAAAGTATATTGGTCGGTTTTTGCATTTTACGCGCGCGCACGTGCATGCATGTGCAGGATGGCCATGTAACCCGTCTATACTATTAATGCATCTTTATATTCTCAGTATCAAAACATTTCATCAAAAAATATATAGGTTCCGGCTATATCAAGTATACTGGTCATCTGAGTATTGCGCGCACGCGCACCTGCATGCATGTTTATAATGACCATGCCATCTTGTCTACACTGATAATATGTCTGTTTATTCTTAGTATCAAAGCTTTTCATAAAAAAAAAATATAAAAGTTTTGGCTATATTAAGTATACTGGTCATTTAACACATTACACGCGCGAGCATGTGCATGCATATGCATGCATGTGCATGATGACCATGTCATCTTGTCTACACTTTTAATATATCTGTATATTCTTAATATTAAAGCTTTTCATAAAAAAATATAAAAATTACGGCTATATTAAGTATATTGGTCATTTAACACATTGCACGCGCGCGCACGTGCATGCATGCTTGCATGTGCATGATGACCATGTCATCTTGTCTACACTTTTAATATATATAAATATTTTGAGTATTAAAGCATCTCATCAAAAAGAATAAAAGTTACGAGTATATCAAGTATATTTGTCATTTTACACTTTGCGCGTGCGCACACGTGCATGCATGTGCATGTTGACCATGTCATCTTGTTTACACTTTTAATATATCCGTATATTCTGAGTATCAAAGCATTTCATCAAAAAATATAAAAGTTACAGCTATATCAAGTATATTGGTCATTTTACGCATTGCACACGCACGCACGTGCATGCACGTGCGCGAAAAATGACCTTGATTCCGCAAATCTACATAACATGCCTATTAACCCTAAAAAGGTTTCACCTCAATCGGATGAGTAGTTGACGAGATCACTCTCGGACAAAAAAGTACCCAGGAAGAAGAAGAAGAAGAAGAAAAATAACTAGTTATAATTGTAACGGGGACCGTTACAGATGTTCCCCAAACGCTCCCCAACACCCTTTTGGTGTCTTATTTCCTGTAAGCTTCATTAAATAAGGCAATGAAGTATATTGATCGTTTTTTGCATTTCACGCGTGCGCACGTGCATGCATGTGCAGGATGACCATGTCATCTCATCTATACTATAAAAGCATCTTTATATTCTCAGTATCAAAACATTCCATCAAAAAATATATAAGTTCCGGCTATATCAAGTATATTGGTCATCTTAGCATTGCACGCATGCGCACCTGCATGCATGTTCATAATGACCATGCCATTTTGTCTACACTTATAATATGTCTGTTTATTCTTAGTATCAAAGCTTTTCATAAAAAAAATATAAAAGTTATGGCTATATTAAGTATATTGGTCATTTAACACATTGCACGCGCGCGCATGTGCATTCATGAGCATGATGTCCACATCATCTTTTCTACACTTTTAATATATCTGTATATTCTTAATATCAAAGCTTTTCATAAAAAAATATAAAAATTACGGCTATATTAAGTATATTGGTCATTTAACACATTGCACGCGCGCGCACGTGCATGCATATGCATGCATGCATGCATGTGCATGATGACCATGTCATCTTGTCTACACTTTTAATATATATAAATATTTTGAGTATCAAAGCATTTCATCAAAAAGTATCAAAGTTACGACTATATCAAGTATATTTGTCATTTTACGCTTTGCGCCTGCGCACACGTGCATGCATGTGCATGTTGACCATGTCATCTTGTTTTCACTTCTAATATATCCTTATATTCTGAGTATCAAAGCATTTCATCAAAAAATATAAAAGTTTCAGCTATATCAAGTATATTGGTCATTTTACGCATTGCACGCGCACGCACGTGCATGCACGTGCGCGCAAAATGACCTTGATTCCGCATATCTACAAAACATGCCTATTAACCCTAAAAAGGTTTCACCTCAATCGGATGAGTAGTTGACGAGATCACTCGCGGACAAAAAAGTACCCAGGAAGAAGAAGAAGAAGAAGAAAAATAATAATAACTAGATGAGATCTCGTTGCGAGCAACGAGTAGGTCTTCCGTCCGATTTTTCGATAAGATGAGATATGATTTTGACTATGATCTTTGTTAAAAGATAATAATATATATAGACTTCCCTAATTAGATTTCAATCCTTTGATTTTATATACATTATCAAAGAGCTATCGATGAATTGCTTTTGGCCCCTCTGAACCCCTAGTTTGAGGGGCAGCCCCTTTTTCTTGATATCAATTGAAAGGTCTTGTGATTTTGAAAACGTTTTGTTCAACAACTATTCAGAGATTTCTTTCCGTTGTGGAAATATGCTGAATGGAAATATTTAGGGGCCACCCCTCCAAGTCCTAAATGGGGCCGTTTGACAGAAATTGAAAGGGTGCATATTGTTTAAAACATTATTCTGACCATCTTTTGTTCAGTATTGCTTTTCAAAATATTCCCCCTTTTCGAGATATAAAGCGTCAAAGATTTAGCATTCTGGCCCCTTGTGACCCCTTATTACGTAACATATGATCGGAATCTTATCATATATTGTCGTAAATCGTTAAGATAAGCATCTTTGCTTCAGTAATGTATTACAAATTATTGATCGTTAAAGAGTTATAGGTTGAAGACTTTTGGCCCCTCTGAGCCCCTAATTTGAGGGGTCAGCCCCTTTTTTTAATATCAAATGAAAGGTCTTGTGATTTTGAAGACTTTTTGTTCAACAACTATTCAGAGATTTCTTTTCGTTATGGAGATATGCTGAATGGAAATATTTAGGGGCCACCCCTCCAAGTCCTTAATGGGGCGTTTGACAAAAATTGAAAGGGTGCATATTGTTTAGAACATTATTCTGACCATCTTTTGTTCAGTATTGCTTTTCAAAATATTCCCCCTTTTCGAGATATAAAGCGTCAAAGATTTAGCATTCTGGCCCCTTGTGACCCCTTATTACGTAACATATGATCAGAATCTTATCATATATTGTCGTAAATCGTTAAGATAAGCATCTTTGCTTCAGTAATGTATTACAAATTATTGATCGTTAAAGAGTTATAGGTTGAAGACTTTTGGCCCCTCTCAGCCCCTAATTTGAAGGGTCAGTCCCTTTTTCTTGATATCAAATAAAAGGTCTTGTGATTTTGAAGAATTTTTGTTCAACAACTATTCAGAAATCTATTTTCGTTTTTGAGATATGCTGAATGGAAATATTTAGGGGCCACCCCTCCAAGTCCTTAATGGGGCCGTTTGACAAAAATTGAAAGGGTGCATATTGTTTAGAACATTATCCTGACCATCTTTTGTTCAGTATTGCTTATCAAAATATTCCCCCTTTTCGAGATATAAAGCGTCAAAGATTTAGCATTCTGGCCCCTTGTGACCCCTTATTACGTAACATATGATCAGAATCTTATCATATATTGTCGTAAATCGTTAAGATAAGCAAATTTGCTTCAGTAATATATTACAAATTATTGATCGTTAAAGAGTTATAGGTTGAAGACTTTTGGCCCCTCTGAGCCCCTAATTTGAG